AATTTTATTTTTTAAATTTTTTTGTTGTTGTTGTTTTTCTTCCAGTACCAGAAATTGAACTCACAACCTTGAGCTTGCCAGGCAGGCGCTTTTGCTGCTGAGTTAATTCCCTAGCCCCTTTGGTTTTTTTTTGAGACAAGGTTTCACTATGTAGTTCAGGCTGGCCTTGAACACACTGTAGCCCAGTCTGGGCTTGAACTCACTGCAATCCTCCTGCCTCAGCCTCCTGAATGCTAGGATTACACGTGTGTACCATCATGCCCACTCTATATACAAAGGTTTTTAAATGTAATATAACCAAAAGAGTAGTTTCTTCCCTTTCAGGTCTTCAGTTGCTTTTTTTTGGAGTGCCAGGAATCAAACTCAGGACCTTGTGCTTGCCAGGTGTTTGTGCTGCTGAGCTATATTCCTGGCCCTTCAGCTGCTTTTCCTCTAAGAGTCACATGTCCCTAGTAAAGAAAATTAGAATAACACTCTGCTTTTAGTCTTAAAAAGTCTTCTACCATCCAGAGAATGGACATATATTTCATTTTATTTTAATTTTGTATGGTTTCATTTTTAAAATTATTACTAATACTATTATTTTGTTTTGAGACCAAGTCTTGCTATGTAGTCTAGGCTAGCTTTGAATTCTCTAGGTAGCCCAGGCTGGCTGGAACTCGTGATCCTCCTGTTTCAAGTGCAAGGATTACAGATGTGTAACACCTAGCCAGGCTCATTTTATATTCTTAACTCTTTAACTTACCTGGAATTTATCTTGGTAGACTCCATGGCACATATCAAAATTATTCTTTTGTAAATAATTACCCATACACCCTGTGTTTCCAGCACCATTAAAAACTAATCTTTGTGTTTCCCACTGCATCTGTCAGCTATTGTTGCAATAATGCTACATAACAAGCCAATCCCAAACTGAGAGGAATGCAGTAAGCATGCATGTCCCACTTCTGCACCTGTGGGCAAGCTGGGTTTCAGCTGATCTCTGTTGTGCTCTGCTGGGCTAGTCTACCTTTCGAAGTCCAGCCACAACAGCACATTGAAGGCCTCTGCTTGTATCATACTTGCAAACATTCCATTGGCCAAGGCATGTCACAGGACCACGCCCAAGTTCAGTGGTGTGGGGAAATACATTCCATGGTGAAGAACATGTTACAGAGATGAAGGACTGAGAGCTGAAATGCAATCTACACGCCCATGGAGATAGCCTTCCAGGAAATGAGGTTGAATTTTGATAAAGGCAGAGCAGAGTCTAGGAAGGGCCCAAGTTCGAGGAAACATTTAGTTCAAATTTGCTCATAGGAGAAGAAAAGCAATGGCCAGGAGAAATACCTTAAAGATGTGAGCAAGAAGCCACATCAGCACACCTGTAATCCCAGCACTTCAGAAGGCTAAGGCAGGAGGATTACAGATCCAAGCCCAGTGTGGACAATTTAGCAAAGACCCTATCTCAAAGTAAAATAAAAATAAAGAAATGGCTGGGGATGTAGCTCAGTGTGAAGGTCCTGGGCTCAATCTTCAGTACTAGAGGTGGGAGGGAGAGGAAGAAATGAGCAAGAGGGGCTAATAGCGTTCCCCTAAAACTTCATATGTACAACTGGGGGAGTGGCACACACCTGTAACCCCAACTACTCAGGAGGCTGTGGCAAGAGGATCTCAAGTTTGAGGCTAGCTTGGCAATTTATCAAGACCTTGTTTTAAAATTTTTTTAAAGGGACTGAGAGCTGGGTGTGGTGGCACATGCCTGTAATCCCAGCACTCTGGGAGGCTGAGGCAGGAGGATACAAGTTTGAGCCTAGCCTAGGCAATTTAGTGATTTAGTGAGACCCTATTTCAAAATAAAAAATAAAGCTGCAGATCTAGCTCAGTATGCAGGCTCTGGACTCAATCCCTAGCACCACAAAAAGGGGCTTGGAGGTTATGTGGCTTAGTGGTAGAGTGTTTGTTTAGTATATGGGAAGCCCTGAGTTTAATCCCCAGTAACGGGGGGGGGG